TTTTTAAACGCACCATATGTCAAGGTAGCGACTTCTGCATGCGCTTTTTTGAGCACATCTTCAGGGTTGCGCTTTCTGTTCGCCTTCTCCTTCTCAAGGTTGATAAGCTTATTAGCTGAAGCCCATGCTATCCATGACCTTAGGCCACAGTAGCCAGCTGACTGCTTAGCCTAAATCGCAATCTTGCAATATGCAACTGCTGCGCGGACACTATCTTCTTCCTTGACCTCTAACTTTGGAAGCCGTCCATTTCCCCTTGAAGCTCTGATGTGACCCCTTAACCGTGCGATGGCATTTGCGTCGCGTAAATGTTCGGCCATAATGGCTACGGGACGGGGCTTTCGCTTGGATTGTGGCTCGTCGGATGGTGGTTCATTTGGGGCAGCAGCGCGTTCGTTTTTCCGTAACCTTGGTGATTCGACGGTTTCGCCCCGCCGCTCGCCGCACTCGTGCTGCTTTCCGCTTGTGTCTTTTGCCACCCTCGGTGCTTTTTGCCGTGCACTGCGCAGGGTAGCGGCTTGCTGCGCATTGTTCCCAGTGACAAATCCTGCGGGATAGGGGGTACCTTCGGACTTCCTCTTTCCTGATCTCCGGGTTCCTGCGACTTTGGTTTGCTGGTCATCGCCTGTGTTTTGCTTATCCGTATGCTCGTTGCCAGTATGCTGCTCTCCGGCGTGATGCTCTTTGCCTGTATCCTTTTTAAGGGAAGTTGAGTTCTGGGGCTGATCGTTCGAAAACGCTATTTCATACGTAATCGGGTCGTGATCATTGCATTCCGCGTTGCAAGGGACATATTCCTCGGACCGATCTGTGGAATCCGTCCAGTTGACCGCTTCGGCCTGAGTGGAAGTGACGCTGAATCCGGAATGGTAGGCGCCTGGAAGGGTAATGACCAATTGCCCGGCTTTTTGCTTGAACTCTCTTACAACGACGCCCCCCTCCCGCAAGCGATCAACGCCGCCATGCAAAGCTTGGTGCCGGAGATATTGGTTGTAGGTCGGCGTCATTCCCAGCATGTCGGCAAACACTCTGTCCGCTTGTTTTTCTGATCCTGGCTCGATAACGCGCCAAATCTTTTCTCCGCAATAAAGATAATTGACCGCCCACGCGCGTAAATCTTCACGATGCCATGCAAACGGTCCCCACGGCCGCGACTGATACGCGGAAGGATTGTGTAATCCGGGAACAGGACCATCCGCAGGAAACTTGTTGCCTCGGAACGGCCAAACCGGACTTTCTGGAGGTAGGAATGCCCCCCTGCGCTCTTCTTCAGTGTGGGCTGGGATGTCGGTCTGGTAGGCCACGTTGCCTAGTTCCGTTGGATTTGAGATCACTGTTGCAAACTTTTCGACGTCGTCGGTAATGCTGGAGTCGACTTCAAGCTTGTCGTCATCGAAAGACTGAATGCTCATTGTCTGGTGTTGGGTGAGAAGTTGGGAAAACCCATGTTCTAGTGGTTTTCGTTCGTACGTTGTCGACTTTCTTCGGCGAAACGAAGGTTGTTTGGGACGGTTTGGTCGACAACTCGCTGGCGCGATAATCACAAATATGCCAGCCTCTCCCGCGAGTTCCTTGCCACAGCGGATAAGCGAAGGGATGTCATCTTCGGGGCCTTCCTTCAGGTCCCGGTATTGGTCCGGTGTTGGCTCGAGCAATAAAACGGAGCCACCAATGGTGTCGGGCATCCATCTGTATCTTACGCCGTTGTGAACGTCACTGGAAGGAGGGATGGTGTTGCCACTGTTGCTAAAGTGGGGCGGGGGAGCCTGGGAATGTCCGAGCTCGGGTGGTGGAGCAGCTGGCTGGGGTCGGCTGTCGGGAAGCGGCCTTCTTCCCCGCTCGGGGGCCACCACGAATTTAGCCGCGGTGGAGGCGTCCAAGTTTGACGCGGCAGTGCCATTTTTGCGCTGGCTGAGCGGTTCCGATGGGGGACCTGGCGCTGCTTCAGCCGTCGAAGCTTGCTGCTGGCTTGACGCTTCCGACGCTGAAGCATCTGGTGGGGTGTCGGCACCCTCGATTGCAGAAATTTCGTTAAGGAGCACTTCCTCAACTTCTGGATCAACCGGGGTCGAAACCGCGGTAGCGAAGTCACCAATCCCGGCGTCTGCAAGCGCCTGATCTCCGTCTTTTCGGGGATTGCCGGACCTCAGCGCCTCAACCGCCTTATTCTTAGATTTGATCCATCTCTTTAGGGAGGCCAGCCGAAGGGCGGTATTGTCCCGCTCTCGCTCTTTGTCTATCTCAAAATGGATGCGTACGGCCTCCACGCATCGAAAAGCACAGCAGTTATCCTCGGAATCGAGCTGCAAGGATCAGCGCGATGCTCAGCCGATCGTTTAGGACAGGGGGCTCTTACATCGTGTGGTTTTTGCTCAAAAGCATCGTTACGACCGAGCATACCTGCAAGTGCGGTCGCCTCCTGCTCGCGCTTTTCTTTTGTCATTCCCCAGCTGATAAATTTGGATTGGTCCAACTCGACGACCGCAATGACGAAATGATTTTGGCCCTGTTCCGAAAGCTGGTCGGAGCAATTAACGTGGTAGGGCAGAACGAGACCACGCGGCGGCGGTGTTTTGTTCAGATCTAAAGGGCGGGCGTCTAGGTAGTATCCGTCTGGCAGATCATCTCTGAGAAGGTCTTCCATCATGCGGCGGTCCACGAACTGGTTTTCACCGAATTGGCCAAAATTTCTCTCCGGGAACGTCATTTGGGCTTCCGTGACCAGCCTTTCCAGCCGCATGCGATATGGCCCAGTTAGTTTTGGCAGCTTGAACTCCCGGGGTTTCGCCGGAGGTATTTTGTCGATATCGACAACAGGAATGTGACTCTGTGGCTGTAATTCTGTGACGGGAAGGGGCCGGGGATGGCCGTCGTCAGGCTCCAGCAATTCGCTGTCGCGCATGACGGCATCGAAAATCTCAGGGGGAGGGCTCAAGGGACTACTGGCCGTCGACAGTCTAGCCGCTGCCTGCGCCTCGGGACTGCTGGCCGTCGATTGTCCAGCCGGTGGCTTTGCGCGATTGATTGCGAGGAAACCAGGGACCGTAGCTGATTCCGCGGGTTGGTCCAGCGGGAACTGGCTGTCGCTGGGGGGCTGCTGGAGGCGCCGTCGTTGTTGCCAGAATTGCTGGAACTGCTCCCCGCCGACAATGAGTTTGCCACTGCAGGCGGCGCAGGGCTGGATTGCAAGGGGTTGGAGTCGCCCATGTGAGGTCGCGATGCCGGCACGGTGTCTGGATATGGCTGCGCCCCGGTCGAGGCACGCGGCAGGGGGGCAGTATCTGACATCTCATCGCCACTGTCGCCATTGCTGCCCGGGGTGGCCGGCGACAAGGCGGCGGCGGCCGTCGTCAATGCTGCTGGCGATGTTGTGGCAGGCGGCCGGGGATCCGCGCCTGACAACTCATCGCCACTATCGTTGGTGTCGTCGGGGCGAGCTCGGCCCACCGGCACCAAACGGAGCAAAGGAACCGCATCTATATCGATCGTTAGGTCCTTGTTCGTCGGTTACCCAGGGGGTTGCTTACCAGCTGTGCGTTGTCGCTTAAGCTCCGCAATTTCGGCGGCTTGTTTTCCAAGTTTCGCTAGCAGC